TTATTCCATGATTATTATTATCGTGTCATGTGCGCATTGTGGAGCCGAACGTTTTTCATGAAAACAAATGGCTCCTTAGTCCTCACAACTATATATACATTTCATACAAGGCGGACACGACGTGTGATATTAATCATACATAATATCGGTAGAATTAATAAATATAAAAGTACATTTTTACGTTTACTGTAAACATACAAATATAATCAATAATATTTTCTACTTTTTCCAATTGATTTGTTCGAAAATATAATTATTTTGTATTTCTAAATGTTTATTGAAATCGATTCGACGCAACAACCAACACATTACGAAGTCTATCGTTATATTATTGATCCGTAAACTATTCAAACCAACGCGAAACGATTTTGCATCATTTGTTTACCTACAGACAATATATTATGTTTATGCGTAATAATCAATCGTCAATTACAAAGTAAATTAATCATTTGTCCGTGCGTAATGATCAACACGGCGATTATAGTTCGGCATTAACATATGAGAATCTGAAATACACCGTTTACGGTATTACAATATGGTATTACAATATTCCTACGACTATCATAATAATTAATATAATAATGATTCGCGTAACTATTGGCAGGACATTTTACGAGTTATATTTTATCGTATGTAATGATGTAAAAGCTATAAAAGCTCCAAATAAATAAGGAAATATTTTAGAATATTACATGATAACAACGCGCCTGCGTTCGAATTCGTGAACCTTTGACTTGTGCGTATACATTTGTACGCAACTCAAAATTATCATATGTTTTGAGAATATTTTTTATCGGTCGGCTTTTATGTTGTATATTTTTATCGGTTTTTTTCCGGAAACCAAATTCACCGTGAACGATTCAATTATCATCAGCGACGTCTTGTTGCATAAATTCGTTTAGCTGCGCAGTGACCTACGCGACAGGGAACAAACGAGAGCGAACCCTCGGAATCGCAAAAAATCACTCTAAATTGCATTAGGTGATCGATTATGGCGATATGATTGCTGTATTATGTGCGCGTGTAAATTGTATTTATATTTCAACCGAAAACATTATGTACATACAAGTGTGCACCGTCCTGCAGGAAAGCTTTCCGGTTGATTGCGCCGATGACATCTTTGCACCGTGCAAGACGCTGATTTATGTGAAGTTATCGAGTTAAAAGGCCCGGAAAAAGAAGCATGCAACCCGTTTTTTAAACGCTACCGTCGGATTTATAACGCGCCGAGTCTTTATTTCGTTCAACTACATTCGTCATATTATTATATACGGCCCTGCCGGAGAAAGAGGATGAAAAAAACAAATACGAATACCAAAAACAGCCCGACCCCTTCGGGATTTCTACGTATACGCGCGCGTCTGTAGGACCGTCCCCATGATAATATACGTGATTTCACCTCGGCACAAGACATTAGAGAGAGAGAAAGAGATAGAGAGAGAGAGAGAGAGATGGAAGTACGGAAAGAGGGTTACAGATAGACAGACGGAGAAGTCGTGACTTTTTCACGCCCCCCGTGCGGAGTGCGAGGCGACCGCGCGCGCACCCGATGATGAATCGATCATCTTTTTAAATTTAAAGGGAAAAGATAAAAATTCGTTTTTTCTCGGTTTCTCCTTTACACGCCACCGCGGATACGCCGCGCACGCACGTACACTTGCCCTCGGAGGAATGTGTCGGTGCCACCGAAAATCGTTTTACATGTGTTTGACGCGCGTATGATTGATTCCCGCGGTACGGACGCCGCGGCGGATGGGGTGAGAACACCCGGAGAAAAATTGAAAAGTAAAAAGTATTACCGCGACGGCGTTCCTTTTATTTTTTCGTTCTCACTCGCCCTCCGCTGCGCTTTTCTTCTCGGCCGAAAACCGTGCGCGCGCGCCGCTGTCACACGATCGTTGTACACCGCGTTACGTGCCGGTGATATTATTTATCGTCGAGACGCCGATTTTTTTCCAGGAAATTAAGCCGTTCGATTATGACGTTGCTGCGACGTCGATCTCCGCACATTTGATAACGTTCGTCATTTAAAACTGTTTTTCGACCGTTTCTCGTACGACGGCACACGAACTTTTTTCGCATGGTAGTACACGCCCACGCGCTACCGGAACACATTTTTTCGCTTCCCATCCGCACGACAAATGAACGCTAACACGTGTTTACGCGCGTCCCGGTGCGGCTGTTACGTGTTAACGCGTCCGTGTGACATATATCATGTACACATATATGACATCATCATATCGGATATGAAACGGATTTTGAAATCATTTGTACAGTCACTTGTACAAGTGCGTCCACTGACCCGCGGCCGACGAAAATGCAACTGCTTTTCCGAATGATGCGGACGACGTCATACGGTTGCCGACGAGCGGCTCACGTTATTTAAATTCGAATTTATTTAAATACGAATTCGTAGAAGTTCAGATCGCGCCGGGAAAAAAATCCGATCGCAACAGCGGACGCGATACCGAAAATCGATCAGTTTCATATGGACGCGTAGCTTAAAACGACGGGCACGCATCGCTCGACCGCTCGTCCCGTTCTTCTTACGCGCGTGCCCGCCGCGATGCGCGTTTATCAGCTTCATTATTCTACTAAATTTACGAAACAAGATTTAATTTTCTTGATGACTGTGCCATCACATCAATTCCTTCGTCGGGTTTCACTTGTATTGTCCTATGAACAGACAACACGGTAAGCCCATTCAATCGCTTCTACATAAAAAAAAAAAAAAGTAGAAAAAAAACTTAAAATCTATTGATACTATATACTATTATCTACGATTAATTTATACTATATACCTACCTGACCCATAGAATTTCTCAAGTAAGTCGTAAGCTAAGTCCTTTTGTGTTCAGAACTGTATTCAGAATAGCTGTATTCTTAGAGTAATAATACTCTACGGCTATATCCCGGGTCATGTGATATAAGTACGAGATGTGTATCCGTAATTTGATATGAAGTTAGATACGTGTATCATTCTTGGTTACAAAAATTAAAAAAAAAATAGTTTTTGTTATATTATATATTAAAAAATGTTTTAACCCATGGCTCACATGGGGGACCTATCCTCCATATCCCCCCCCCCCGTATAACCGCCACTGATTTTGGTTAGTGATGACGGCAGTGATACCACGCGTATCATGTGTGTATCGTATGTGTGTGCACACACATCCGTTCTGTAAAAATGTGTAGCACACGTTGTGGAACTGCGCAATTAATGGTAGAGATTTTATAGCTTTTGCGCAGCGGAACGATCCTGGTTTATGGAAAATAATTTTCAAAAGTACCCATCCCGACGAGGGAACGCAATGCTTCCGCGGAGGTCGTTTTTCAAAACCGACGCACATTTCGCGTACCACGGATTTTCCGCTTTATTGCGTTGCGAAGTGAAATAAATAAAGTTTGGACAAATCATGCGGAGGAAATCCCACGTCGTTAAGGTTATTGGTTCACTTATTGGTGTAGCGATGCAATACAATCATATTAATATGATATCTTCGGCATTTCTCGATACAATATTACAAGTTCGAGTTAACTTGAAAAACCGTACAACGCTAAGTTTATATAAATTAACCGTTTAAAGGTTAGGTAACATTCACACACAATTGTGTTGACAGGGAAAATATCGAACGAATATTTAGACAAAAATCGCGAATGGACCATCGTAGATACATTATTCGTACAATACGGTTGATACCTATAAAAATTACTCAAACTCCATTAACTCCGAAGAAATAACATTTGGCGGGATTACTGAAGTTTCAAAATTCGTACATGCAGTTAAATCATATCAATAAAATGTCTGTCTTAATGGCAGGGTGAAAATGTTGTCGGGTATTACGCGCGCGTACTGTTAGGCGCTACGCACAGCCTGGCTAAACGAAATAATGATATGCTCTTTGGCATTAGTTCGTACACTTGAGTGCCAAGAACTGAATACTTCCAAATGTACCATATTATTTGTCGTTCACAGTTGAATGTAAAATTATGGAAATGCATTATACTCGAATGAGGGAGTTTAGAGAAAAAATGCGATGCAACACGATGGTGTTTTTTTCTCGTTGTAAAACGGTGTTTTTTAACCAAATGAAACACTTTGAATGACAAAGAACTTTATAATTTAAAATTCTTTGGGCGATAAAATAAAATACAAGGTGGAAAAGAATATATGTATATATAAAAAAAAAAAAAAAACTATGAATGAAAATGAAAAGAAAATACACACGTTTCGCACGAAAGGCTCACTGCAGTGTAGAGTATATATATGTACGCGGCAGAGAGAGGTGATCGTTGATGCGTGCTGGTGAGAGATGAACACAAAATTATAGGGAGACTGTAAAAAGATAAGGCGGTTTCGGTTTTTTTTACACTATTATTATTATTACTTTTTTTTTCTTGTTATATTATTTTTATTCGATTCAAGGGTCGAGGAAGTTTCCGTTGAAAATTATGTAATCCGGTTGTCACCACCGAGTAAGCGAAACGTGTAATATCGAAGGAAATCGTCTTTGAAAAAAAATAAATAAATAAGAAAGACGGGAAAAAATGTGGCAAGTTTCTCACGAAAATTTTAGCTTGGAAGGGTTTTTATCAAGTGTTGCGTGAAATTTGTTGTTGAAAGCTGTTATTAAAAGAGATAGGTAGTAATACCGTCAAAATGAACAACAAACTGGGGACCGGGTGTATTGAGGATCAAACAAAACGTAGTATTAGTTTTTTAATAATACAAATATGATATAAGCAATATTAGGCGTATAACGTAAATTAAGATGTGAACTTTGGAAAAATTCTCTTCCACGGTTCGGATAAATACCTCGTTAAACGTTGTCATAGTTACGAGTTAAATATAGAACAGGTTATCAATGATTTCCGAATGATAGTTTTTGTTTTTTTTTTGTTGTTATAACTGAACTTATTTTAAGCATTTGCCTTAATAAAACGTACGCTGATATTTTAACTGTGCGCATACTAAATTTACAAATAAACGCTGTGTTTAGATATTTTTCGTTTGAGAATTCGCTAAGACTATCCGAGCCTGCAAACGAGCACCATGTCAATACCATCATGTAAATCTACTTCTTCTACGATTATGACGTCACCGCGGAGTCAGAAATCGTTGGTGTCCATTAAATCTGTGAGATCGATCGGAAGTATGAAAGACAATCCATTTGCATCTTCGTACGCAGCCGTTTGTGAAAAGTACAAGACGCGTCCGGTGCCTTATGTTAAAGTGAACGTTAAAGCAAATTCCGTGGAAGTATACGGCGATCGTATGAAAGGCGAGGAATGGCAAGCTGCAATGGAAGCGTTAAGCACCGACGTCAGTACTCATCACGTGCGCATAAAAAACAAACGATACGTGGAAAACTTGGCCGTAGGTTTTGACACGTTATCTAGCGTCATGGCAGCTCCGAAGTGAGTCATAAACTAGAATTCGGCTTCAGATATACTACACATAAATATGAAAAAAAAAAATAGCCATTTTAGCAATCATTCATTTAATATTGTTTACGCATAAGGTCTACTTATAATGGAAATGATAAATTTTATTCATATTTCGTAGGTTCTTTGGTAAGACTATAGGCGTCACTAAAATCTAAATTTTGGGGTAGCAAAGTTTATTTTTAAAAAGTTAAAAAATACATTTTTAAATGTTTAACACGATAACCGGCTTACTTAACTGGCCAACACATTTTCATAAATCTTGATATGACGTATATTGTGTACACTATCTTATTGTCCGTATTGGACTTATCTCAAAATATAATTATTTTGGATACAATCACAATAATAGATGGTCTATGTTCGTACACACTTGAATAATAAACTTCCAATTTGATTTTAAAATCTATAACATTTTTTCAGGGTAGCAAAAAGATACCCTTGCTACTCCTCGATACCCCTTAGTGACGGCTAAGGTTAAGACTAAAAGGTAGAAGTATACGACTGGTATTATTTAGATAAAAGTAAAAACTGGATTATTCGAAATAGTGTACCTTTTGGAAATTTCTTTTTCTCACCTGTTACATAGCTGTTGAATGAAAAATCTATTATTTAAAAACGTTAATAAAAACTGAATAAAAAAGTAGAATGTCTAAGACGTTAGCTAATCCATCTATGGCAAAGTGTTATGAGTAAAAGACGCTTTCACGTATTTACATGAAATTAAGGTTCGATTTTTAAAACCCGTTGCTTAAAATTGTCCGTAAATATAATAATATTACTCAAGTATTAAGGTTTTATGTTTTTACGCTATAACTTACTAGGTTCTCTATTTGGATTAGTAAGAAAACTATGGTTTTACTCATATCATAATTATAGATTAGGTATAATAACGCAAAAAATTATTCTCAAAAACTGATAAATTCAAGTATTCGCATTATTAACATATGTGTTTTATTTTGTTGCATTCGCGATGTCCGTGAACTCTTATGTTTGAATTCACTTAAAAAATAAACCACTCCCACCTAGGTAGTTATTGCCTCTATTTATCGCCTTCGCCGTGCTCATGTTACCCGGACTCGTTACTCCGCAGGAACGTGCCCGCGATGAGCACACTGTACGTGGCAACCCTGATCGCGTCGTCCATTCACGAACTGCTGATCAACTCGCGGGCGCTCGTCTACCTGGAACTGGAAAGCGTGCGGCTGGACGAACGGTCGGTGGACGTGCTGGTGTCCGGCGTTGAGGCCAACAGTACGCTGCAGCACTTGTCACTGGCATACAGCCGGATCGGCGACGCGGCGTGCCTGGCCCTTTGCCAGGTGCTCAGGGACAAGCCCAACATCCAGTCGGTCGACCTGTCCGGGTGCGGGCTGACGGCCGCGGTCTCGTCGTCGCCGGTCCGCGGGCTGGTGGACGTGGTCAAGAAGCAGCAGATCAAGCGGCACGAGGAGTGTTGGGCGCACTCGTTGCGGTACAGGGTCGCGGACCCGGGGGCGATGCGCGGGCTGCGGCGGCTGACGCTGAACGACAACGAGGCGCTGGGCGACGCCGGGGTCGCGGAACTGTTCGAGTCGCTCAAGGACGATTACTACGTGAAGGCGGTGGACCTGCAGAACTGCGGGCTGACGGACCGCGGCGCCGGGCTGGCGGCGTGCGCGCTGGCCGTCAACGACACGCTGGTGGTGCTGGACGTCCGGGACAACGAGCGCGTGTCGTCCAGCGCGCTGGCCGCGGTCATGGCCCGGCTGTGCGAGAACAACGCGGGCAACCCGGAGACGAAACGATGGACGTGGACCAAGTCGGTGCGCGAGAAGCGCGACAGGACCGCGACGTGCGGGTCGTCCATCTCGATACTGGTCTGATGACGAGGCGCGGGCCTGCCGGCCGGACGACGAGAGGCGAAAAACGGAAACAAAAAAAAGTTCCTTCGGTCTTCGTTATATAGTAGTAATAACAGTAATGATAATAACAACGCGATTGAGTTCGATTTGTTTTTCGGCGCGTTCCGATGGTTGCGCCTCCGCAGGGTCACGGCCAGAAACAGATTTCCCGCGAAAAGTTAATAAACGAAAACACAGTCGCGTCTCTCTTCCGCCTCACCTGCCCTGCCCTGCCCCCGCCTCCTTTGGGTTTAACGGTCCGGAAAATGCGTTGATTCGATTCGACACACCGTTGCCCGTTAAAAGCTTTCGATTCCCTCGTTTTCCTTTCCCAAGGGTTCCATCAGGCTCTTTATATAGGACACTATTTTTTTTTTTTTATATATACATATATATGTATACTTGCTATACTCGATTCGCATTCATTTATCTTACAAATCGAAAAACTAACACGGTTTACCGTACAATAACCAATTCGAACTGTTCCCGGTTAAATACGATGTTTAACCGATTTCGTCACACTCAAGTTGTACGCGATATATATTGTCACCGGAAAAAACTATATATTTAATATGGGATGTTTGGATTTACCTTGTTTAACGCTAAGGTATTATTAAAGTTGTTTTTTAATTTTAATAGAAATGTTGCGTTTTATTTTTAAGTGTTTAAACCAATCAATCCGTAAAATTAATTAAGAACGAGTCGGTGGTGACTTTAATCATTTCTTATGATAATTTAATCGTTCTGGTATAAAATTTCTAAGTGGAAAATAATAATTGTCATAAAAATATATACATAAACTTTAAATTAGTATTTATCATTATAAATAAAAAAGGTAACAGTTTAACATTTACTTAACAACAGTACAATTTCAAAATAGGTAATTATGTTAAAACATTATATTAAAACAATTTCATTAAAATAATAATTAAAAGATTATTGCTAAATAATATATTAACTATGACTGCAAAATATTATAAGTAATAAACATCAGGCTGATTTTATAGGCTTATATTTTAATTTTATTTATTCTTTAGATTTATTTTTAGATTTGATTAATTCATAAAAAAATTTCTTAAACGTTTCTTTTTGATTATTATATTACTAGTTTTTTAGCTTAGATTTAAAACTAGCTGTACTCGCACGACGTCGCTTGTAAAAAGAATTGCGAGACAAACACCATTTAAATTTTCATTCCTATAGTTAAACATAATAATATGTAGAACATAAAAAATTGATAGTTTGTCATAATTTTTATATTTTTATAAATTTAATTTTCAAAGCACAAAACTTGGCATTCATGTATGAACATTTTTTTTTTGTATAACTATAGATGAAACAAAATATATAAATCATGTCAGTTTATTGATAACTACAAGATTTAAAAAATTTCTTTGTAAACGATGTTGTCGAATTTTTCGGATTGAAGGTAAAAACGCACTAATTTGATTTGAATGTTACACGTGACAAGACAAAGCATAGTTGACATACAGATCAACCAGTGTTTAACTTTCTTCTACGCGTGTTAATCAACGTTAATGAATTAGTATTCTTTACATTTTGCTAAGTGTAAAATGTGACTTACAACAATAAAATCCATGACAGTACTAATAATTCGACCAACCATGTTTTTTTTTTTTTATAACAATGTAATTTACATATAAACGTTCCTCGGTTAATTGTCTAACAGTGTAAACCGCATCGAAATCCATTCAACCGTTTCGAAATTTATTTCGAATATAAAGAAACGAATTAATTTTACAACATTTATTGATGAAAATAGTACCTATAGTTTAATATGTTAGTTTGGGAACGGGCATTTCTTTTTTTCGAAGTCTTATATAATATTTTAGGAAAACCAAAACCCACGAACATTGTTTTTGATAATCTAAATCGAATGTGTCCAGCGCCGTTTCTTTTCACACGACAAAGTGATTGGGCGAGTTATATAGGATGAGGGATACAAACAGCTCTGCGAACTGGAACCAATTACCTACCCGTCGCTGGACCGGGCGCACCCTTCGAATTGTTTGCACAAGACGTGGGCCCGGTCTGCTCGGCGTGTACACACAAGACCTGCAGGCGCAGTTGTTTGCTTTTAATTCCGTCGGCGTTTCGATTAAATCCGTCGTGTCCGACATTTGCTCGTAATTGATTTCCGAAAACCTGCGCCACTCGTGCGCGAACGCGTGTATAATAACACGTGCACTGTGAAGAAAACCCGCGACACGGTGCAATGCCCTACCAGAAGCGATCCTGCGTCTGGAAGCATATCCGCGATTTCACTTCGCTCACGATTTCGACGGGAACACTGCGCGGAAATTGCATACTCAGACACGTACAGATGCGATTGCATATACTTCGGTGCAGTATTGTTAAAACGGTCGCGCGTCATTGCAAAAACACGGATCGGTGTCGTGCGCGAGCGCATATCCACCGCGACCGGCGTTAAACATTTCGCCAACGGTTTTCGCAGCACACCGCCGGGCTCCGTGGCCGGAAAACCCGCCGACGTTGACGGTCGTGCACGGAGAACGAGAACCGTGGCCGCGGGACAGGAGCTGAGGAATCGATCAGGAAACAATAAGATCTCCTGTACCCCTGCCACTCCTGACCGCCACCACTGCGGGACGAGCGAGCGGCCCCGGGAACGCGAGGAGAACATGACAAATAGTCGACGCGGCGAACGACACGACACGACACGCTTCATCATTCATCCGTCCGCGTCGCGCCCGTACGTGGTCGTGCATTATAAGTGTTAAGTTGCCGGGCGCGAGGGTTTTTTTTCCGCCCCGTGCGTCATAAATCAAAAATCCGTGCGGCGTCGGACTGCGCGATTCGTGCCGGAGAACGCTTCCTTCGTCTTCTCCTCGGCGGGGTTCCCGCTCGTCCCCCACCCCGCTTACGGTCCGCGTATTCATAATCGTTTGACACGCCAATCCCACCCCACCCACATCACCGTCACCGCCACTCGGCCCCGGCCGGGGGGAAACGCTATGCCCCCCAGGCGGCATTTCGTACGTGTCATGACGCGATCACACACAAGCAACCGGGTAACATTCCGTACCGTGCGCGCGGCGTTCGTTGGACGTGTTGCGCGTCCCGTCGACTTACTACCCCCGCGTGATAGTCAAACGTTTGGTGGAAGGGGGGAAATATAACAGAAATAATGACGGTCTCATGTCAGCAACACCTGCAACGGCGAGGGGATGTTTTTTCCGCCCTGATGGTTTATTAGCAGCGCGTTTAGCCCATGCGCGTCGCGCACGTTCTCTACACGACGTTGCTCACTATAACATACGTCCGCGAGCATTCCGATAACAAATCGAATTTTATGTCCGGATACCAGCGGGAATACGAATCGCGACGGTTATTAAAATAAACAGGCATCGCAATTGTTGCGGTTACGATTTACGCTATACTAAACCGATTGATAAAAAGGCATTACTTTAAGCCTATTTTGTAACTTTTTACGCATGCTAACAATCGCCTAACTCTCACAATACTGTAATAAGCGTTCAAAAAAATTATCTTCCGGAGTACAAACAAAAATATCTGAAAAAATTTCCACATAACTAATGGAGGCAAAAGAACGAAATCAATAGTCCAGTGCATACTTAATATTTACCGATTAAATTAATTAAACCATTTAACAGATTACACTACCCTAACGTGTATCAACATGTTTCCATTCCATTGAACGACGTTTGAAATTAAATTCAAAGGCCAAATCACCTGTAGGTACGCTTCTATTTCGTTATGAAAGGGTCTCGTTCTTATCATTATAACATGTCTCTAAAGGATAGCGATTGGCAGATAGGATTCACGATGCGTTAGACCTTTCTATAATACATAAATACAATACATTTTATGTTGATTCGTGCAACTGAGTTAAAAACTTCAGTTTTTTGCAATCGTCTCTTATAGTTATTACATATTGAGTATTAGTAATAATATCAAACTTAAATCGTATTATTACTCTTATCCTACAAAACACTTATATATAAATAACACTTAAAAATAAATCAATTATTACTCACTATAAAAATGCATCGAGAATGAAAAATGTTCACTTTTAAGTACCACAAATTATGTTATTTAAATCTTTCTATAGTAGTGTTTTTCGAATAACTTATTTACAAGTCAGTGGTGTATTTAATATTTTGTCAAGAAGAGGGATATGTATTGAAAAATATTTAATTTAAAAGTCTTCGCTCTCTTGACCTCGCCCATCACCACTATATACTACTATATTATAATTAATTCATTAAATTAATTTTCCAAGCAAATAATAACGATTGTGGCATAAAAATTCTGTAACCAAAAATGCTAAATATTAAAATATATTTTTTAATTTTATATTTTATAAATTTTTGTTTTACTTTCCCTGTAATACAAAACCTAGTTGCCTCTTTTATAGACATAGCTCATCGATAACCTCATCGGATGAAATGAAACTTGAATGTTTCGATGACATGATAATAAAGCCAACCTATTTAGCTAGTACGACTTAATTCTTTTTCAAGAAGAAAATTATCGTTCCGGAGTTACAATAGGCACTGGAAATGTGCAGAATATTTTAAAAAACACATAAAGATTATAATACAATTTTTTATCATAAGTATCTAGTCGTGTAATCCTAAAAGGAGAGGTTATGTTATCCGTAATTATTTTACGTCTCCACATATTAAATTCATCAACGCTAACATGTAGATTAATTACAAATGAATTAAACTCAAATAGTTTTTTAAACTTCTATTTTTCTTGATTTTTTTAACAATAGTAATTCTTGTTTAAAAATTAAATTAAATCCTAAATAACTAAAGTGAGGTCTGTAATTTTACAATTAATTTTTTTTTTTTATTTAGCTTTTATTATTAACTATTACAGCTCAACAATTATATATATAATAGAAAAAAAAACCAAAAATATAATAATATTAATAAGGTTAATATAAAGTTAAGGGCGTACAGATTACATAAAAAGGTTGAATGCAATTGTTGGTAATTGGTTGTGATAACTTATGGGGAATTCGTTGTGAGTTTGTTTATTAGGACGGTGAAAAGGGAAAGTAGAGGGTTTAATAAGATTTTTTTTTCAGTCAGAAATGTAGATATAGTATCAGAAATAGTGTATGTTGGTTGCTCTAAAGATATGTTGGCATACGTTGGACCTACTTTGGTGTTGTTGCCATGATGACGAGTACGAACTTTTTGCCTTTGAGTATCTGGCATTTTTGTTTTTTTTTTATTTGATAGTACCAATTTCTTGCAAATTGGGCATCCTTTGTATGAGGCTGTGTGATCACTAGAACACAGAGCGCATTTAGCCGGGAGTGACCGG